TAATGACTAAATGGAAGATAAAGTAAGGAAGGAGAGAGCACTGATAACTAGGAGGATCAGGGAAGCTTTCCTGTAGGAGTTGGTACATGAACTGAGCCTTGAAGGAAGCTAAGGAGAGGGGGTGCATTTCAGGCATGGGGCAGTCTGTGCAAAGGTGTGGAGGCAGAAGTTTGGGAAAAGCAAATAGGCCTCTTTGACTGAGATGTAGAAGGGATGTATTACCAGAAATTTGGCCATTAGACGATGAATTATTTCAGCTGAAGTAAGTTATGAAGGCCCATCTACTAAATTGTGAAAAGGTTTTGAGTACCCACACTAATGAAATCAGAGACTCTTGAAGTTGGTAAAATAAGGCACTGTGCAGACAGAAGAGTATGGTTTGGCTACATAGGGCCTATAGATAAACCAGATGTAGGGAACCTTTGTTTAATCTTCATTTATGACCAAGGTTCTAATATGGAGAGTCTGGAGACTAGGGAGAGAAATCATCTTATGCCATAGGGAACCCCTCAGAGGCTGGATAGAAAATACATGATCTCAGGCTGTGGTGACAGTGTTAATTATTATTACAGAAACCTAAAGAAACCCACAGATAGATTTAGCACATGTGGGAGACACCTGCAGTAGTGATTATATGTTCAAGAGTAAAAAAAAATACTAGAAGGGGTGGAAAAGATGGAGAAAGCATTTTTAAAACATGTTTATTTTTAGAATGTTAAACCACGTAAAAAGTATGCATAAAAATTAGATTTTTGGAAGCCCACTGTGTAGTCAAACAATATAATTGCATATTTATTTTATTTTGTTTGTAGCTCAACAATTTTCTTATTTAAAAATAAATAAGAAAGACTGGTTCTCTTACTGACAGTGAGAATCAATCAACCAAAATACACAAGAATATATTGAAATATATGTATGCATACATGCATATATATACATATATATATATATATATACGTAACATTTATTCCTACATGCAGCATATTGAGGGCAATTGACATGTCAATTAATTTCATTTTTTCAAACATATTATGCCATTATAATGTGCTGAGGAACTGAGGGAATTATAAAGATAGAGTATATCTGGTCCCTGTCCTCAGGGGGTTTACTGTTTAATAGAGAAATAAAATAACTACAAAAATAATGCAAATAACCTTGATTGGTGTATAAAAGAGATACAAAGAAAGTACTATGGGGATTCTGAGGGAGGAAAGGGAAGTGTTTCCTAGGTATGGGAAATCAGGGAAATCTCTCTCTCCCTCCCTCTTCTGCTTTGTATTCATTAGTATAGAGAACTCCTGGGTGAGGAAACTCCCAGTACTGACTTGTGTCAGCACCTTCTCTTCAATTTATGGTCTTAGAAGTTGCCTGAGGGCCCTGAAGAGTTAAATATTTTGCTCAGGTCCATTCAGCCAGTATGTGCCAAAGGCAAGACTTGAACTCAGGTCTTCAGTAGGTGTCAGAGGAAAGACTTGAGTCCCTCAAGGACTCCACCGCCAGATCATTATTTACTAGGTCGTGTTTCACCTTTTTACGTCTCACACACTGAAGGTTATACCTCTTCGCAAGCACAAGCCATTTATAGGTGGAAAAATTATTATGATATTATTTAGCATGATTGAAATAAAAGGAAAATAGAGATACTTTATTACAAATCTATATGCTTCATTCCTAACCTTGTTATTCTAATATCAAATCACATGCCTGGTTCCAATCCCTATCCACATCCCTATTTATTTTTATTTTTGGAAGCAATTGGGGTTAAGTGACTTGCCCAGGGTCACATAGCTAGTAAGTGTTCCCCTTACTATTTTTATTTAAAAGACTGTATTTCCCAAGCTCACCCAGGCTAAAGGTATAGGGGTTATTCATAGGCTGATCCCACTGTGATTGGCATGCAAGTTTTGACCTGCGCCATTTTCATCATCAACCTATTATTGCCCCTATCATGTTCTCTTTTCCCTTATCATATTGATGATGGCTTCTTTTAAGTACCAATGAAAATCACACCTTCTCCAGGAAGCCTTCTTCAACCCCTTTTAATTTCACTGCCTTCCCTCTGTTAATTTTTTCCTGTTTTTCCTGTATATGGCTTGCTTTACATATATTTGTTTGCATGTTGTCTCTCCCATTAGATTGCAAGCTCCTTGAGGGCAAGGGCTGTCTTTTGCCTATTTTTGTGTGTGTTCCCAGTGCTTAATAAATATTGATTGATTGATGTCAAACTCTGAATGATATAGCCCACTGCAGCTTGGAACTACCTAATTTAAGAGATCCCTCAGCCTCAGTCTTCCCAGTAGCTAGACCTATAGGTGTATGCCAATAGGCCCAGACTATTTTTTACTATTGATATTATTTCAGACCTCCCTGAAATACTTAGGCTTGGTATAAATCTTGCTTATTGCCTTTTCTCACATATATATTTTATTTTTAAGAGGCATGTAAGTGGCACAGTGGTAGAGAGCTAGAGTCAGGAAGACCTCAGACATTTAGCTGTGTGACCTTGAGCAAGTCACTTAACCTCTGTTTGCCTCATTGAAGATAGCACCTACCTCAAAAGGTTATCAGAATCAAATGAGATATTTCATAAAGGGCTTAGCACAATGCTTAACGTATATAGTAGGTGCTTACTACTTACTCCATTTCCTTTCCATTATCATGTAATAGAAATATACTCACTTTATAAAGGTTCCACTATGTAAGAAAATATATAAAAATGTCTCTGTGACTTAAACAAGTTTGACAACTATTTAGAAAGTTTCTTGGATTTTTATCAATTGTGTCAGTCTGTCAATGAACATTTGTTAAGTGTTTACTATGTGCCAGGCATTGTGCTAAACTTAAGGATACAAAGAGAGACAAAAGACAGTCCCTGCCCTCAGGGAGCTCACAATCTAATGGTTCTTATGATTTGATCCTATTATTAGGAGCTCCTTGAAAGCTGAATCCTTACTAGGCTTCTGTAAATCCCCTGCAGGGCTTAGTACTGTGGGCTTGAAGCTGGGCGTGAAGGAGGCAGTGTTTGTTGAGTGAATATAGGGATAAGTAAATCAGATGTTATTGTGATTATGGGTAATTTTTATTATATCCCATTTGAGTCACCTTGACTTATGTCATCCATCATAATTGATCTGTAGGCATAGCTTCCTTGGACTTTGAATAAGATAGTGACATGCAAGAAAAACAGCTCTATCTAGACATATATCTGAGGGCAGTGGAATGGTGGTGGGAAGTAGGTCCTTAGAACATAGTGACTAATTGTTTGATGGTTAAGGTGATGACTTTCTATCATAAGAACCACTATGACAAGTTTTGGGAGCAGGATGGTGAGGAGGGCCAAGGAATGGGGAAGGAGGAACCCTGGGAAGGCAAAATAGAGTAAGACTTTGGTAAAAAAAAAATACAATTGAGAGAGCTCTATAAGCTCTTGATAATGATAGAGATCTGTAGTTTAATGTTATTGCTGCCCAATTGACAATAATAATTCATATTTACACAGTGCTTCTAGATCTGTATAATGCTTTATACATTTTATGTCATTTGAGACTCACAATACTGAGATAGCTAGATGGTGATGATGATGATGATGATGATGATGATGATATTCCCATTTTATAGGTTCTTGGAGAAGTTTAATGATTTGCTAGGGTCACAGCAAGTTTCTGAGGCAGGATTTTAACCTAAGTCTTCCAAACTTTAGATCCAGTGCACTGTCTACCATGCTGTGGTACCTATTAAGTGGAATTATCAATTAAAACATTTTTATATACTACTTTGTTTATAACCGGCCTTCCCACCTTCCTCACCCCACCTCCCAGCTGAGAAAGACCTGGTTTCAAATTCTGCCTCAAATACATACAAATTATATGACCCAATTAATTATTTCATGATAGTATTGCTTTGAACTACAGACCCTTAGCTTGTAGAATTCTTATTGTATTTGGATTAGCCTAGCATTTATGTAATGTATGTCATGGTAGATTTCCATACATGAATTCGCTGTCATTTGGAATACTGTAACTTCTTAATTTTAATTTTTTTTATAGATTATAAAAAGGAATAGCATTTTTTATTAAAATAGATGTCATGTTTCTTGTATTTTTTGTTTTTATTTTCATAATTCAACAGAAGTGGGTACACAATTTGGAGGCCCTATATGTCATATTTTATGTACTTTGTTTAGATCCTTCAATCAATGTATTGAGAATAGAGATTTGAGATAAATTTAATGTGTTGTAGAAGGAAGATAATTTATACAGGAGATGAGAACCTGAGTCTCACTAGCTGTGATCTTGGGCAAGTTACTTAATTTCATCATAGGATTTAGAGTTGGAGGGGACCTTGTAGATTATCTAGGACAAGTGACAACCAAGTTCCCATAGGTAGTAAATAGTAAGATATTTGCATCCAGATTTTTTGATTTAAAATCCAAGAGCTTTCCATCATACCTTGCTGCCTCTCTGGACTTCAATTACTTAATGTATAAAATGAATGGGTTGGCATCAATATTCTAGCAGGGGTTCTTAAACTGGACCTCTTTGGCAATCTAGTGAAGCCTGTAGACCCCTTCTTAGAATAATGTTTTTAAATAAAATAATTTGATACCAATTTTGAATATCTGTTGGTTAATTATTACACTGTACTCTTTCCAAAGGGAAATATGGGGAGACCTCATTCTTCTCTTTTAGTGGTGCAAGGTGGGATTGCAAGTTCTATACTTAGGGCCACAACTAAAGAGGTGTTTGGCACAGTGGATATAGTGCTGAGTTTGGTGACAGGAAGACCTAACTATGATCTAACACTATGATACTTAGCTTTGCAAAATACAGAAAGTCTAAATGCCTAAACCCCTTGGGCTGAATCCTGGTCTATATGTGCCCTTATTTTAGTGTTTTTTGTTGACAGTAGCTTCACAATTTCATAGAATTCATTAAGCCAATGGATTCACATTTGCCAGGTGAACAACTCATGCCATTCTTTTAATTTGTTTTTTCTTCTAGAACACTATAACTACACATCTTCAAATATCAATGCTGGTTTGCCTCTCAATGTGGCCCATCCTTCACTGTCAACCCCATGTCATGATCTTCAGACAACCAACCCGGTCATTTCAGTTGTACCATCAACAAATCATCCCTCTGGATATGGAGGCAGTATTGACAGTGGGACCTCAGGATATTATCTTTCTTCAAATGTCAGACCTAATGGAGCCCCAGCGTTAGAAAGTCCTCGGATTGAGATAACTTCCTATTTGGGACTTCATCATAACAACAACCAGTTTTTTCATGATGCTGAGGTTGAAGAAACGATACCAAACTCCAAACGATCTCCTTCTACTGCCACCTTGAATCTACCAAACATCGAAGCTTATAGAGATCCATCTTGTCTGAGTCCGGCTAGTAGCTTATCTTCCCGAAGCTGTAATTCTGAAGCATCATCATATGAATCCAATTATTCTTACCCATATACATCTCCTCAGACATCACCATGGCAGTCTCCTTGTGTCTCTCCTAAGACCACTGACCCAGAGGAAGGATTTCCAAGGGGTATGGTGGCCTGCAACTTGCTGAATTCTCCAAGGCATTCTCCATCTACATCCCCAAGAACAAGCATTACAGAGGAAAACTGGCTCAGTACCCGTAACTCCAGGCCATCTTCTCCTTGCAACAAGAGAAAATATAACCTAAATGGGAGGCAGACATCTTACTCACCACATCATTCACCAACCCCATCTCCCCAGAATTCCCCTCGAGTTAGTGTGACAGACGAGACATGGCTGGGAAACACTAACCAATACACCAGTTCTGCTATTGTGGCCGCTATCAACGCCCTTACCACAGACAGCACAATAGATATGAATGATGGAATTCCTATAAAGTCCAGGAAAACTGCCCTAGAGCATACTCCTTCTATGACACTCAAGATAGAGCCAGCTGGTGAGGATCATGGGACCATATCACCCACTTCTGATTTATCACCTGAAGAGTTTTCCAGCTTCCAGCATATCAGGAAAGGAAACTTCTGTGATCAGTATCTTTCAGTGCCACAACATCCATACCAGTGGGCCAAACCAAAGCCTCTGTCTCCCACTTCATATATAAGGTAAGATTTAGTGTAATTTTTGTGCAAATGCATTGAAAAAAAACAAAATGAAAAAAATGCCTAAACTTCATATTTCTTGACTATTCATTCCACTAATTTCTGTCCTAATTTCTGTATCTTACTACTGTCATTGCATCTGGGTGCAGATGTGACCCAAGTTGATAAATTCCTGTGGAGCAGAAAACAGGCGACTCTTGACAACCAGCCATATCGATGTTTTAAGAACAACACAGCATTTTCTTCCCTTGAGACAAGCGCTTGGTCTCTGGCAGTCTGGTGACAGGAAACACAAATGCATTCTGAACTTGGTGTTTTTAACAGTGTAGTCTACTGCTGCCACACCAGTTCACTTAATTAGTCCTGCATTTTCATTTTTAACTAAACAACTGCTTCCCCAACAGGTGCCCCACTAATGACCTTTCGTGAAGTGCTTCCAATCCAAGTCTTTTTATTTTGTGTACAGAAACAACTGCATGGTACCTGATGTAGCAATATGAGTCTTTTAACTTTCTTTTTTTTCTTTCCCCTTTGTCTTAGTGGCATTTTCCACCCCAACTTTACCTTCTGCTCCAGCATTCAGGGAGGGAGAAGTGGAAAGTATAAGGGGAGGGGCGAGGAGGAAGAGAGATGGGGTAGAAGGATAAAAAAATGAAAAAAAAATAATAGTAGCATGGAAATCTTTGGATTGGGAAAATACTGTTTTTTTATTGCAGCAGGATAGTTTGTCAATCTTAAAATAGCTTTTATAATTTTACTCTTTATTTAAAAATACTATGCTCTCCATTCCTGGCTTTTATATAATTAAAGAGCTATATGGTATTCTAGGATTAAGACTGTAAGTAGAGAGTTCAGTGTCATCTTACCAGTGAACCCATTTAAGAATCTATGTTTGTTTTAAAGAAACAATTCAAGAGGCAGAGTGGTTTTTCTTTGCTTGTTGTTTTAATTTTTTCCCAAAAGAACACATGGAAGATACTAATAGTTAATGAAGTTTAGAGAAAAAACAAGAAATACAATAGGTTGTTTCCGTGAGTCCCATGAGACAGCTTCTAAAGTTCTGTGAAAAATTTCAACTTCAACAACCACCTGGGTATAGAAGGACAATCTTAAAAATTATCACCAGAACTAGTATTGTCATTCAGAGGCTGATATAGTCTATGAGAGTAGAATTATTTTGTTCTCCTATTGGCGACTTTTTACATAAATTCAATAATTAGTAAACTATCATATTTAAAAATAAATGATAAATAATAACAGTATTCTGAAGGGAATCCTCTTAAAGAGGCCACATGAATTATATAGATACAATGAATTAAAATGATAAATGTTTTAAATTGACTTAGTTATAGATATATTGCCATTTGTATAATAAGCATTTTTACAAGCATTGCAATCTATAGAAATATAACCCATACTTCTTTCTATACCTCATTATGCTGCTAAAAACAAGCCTACGGGAATATATATATAAGATTAAAATCATTGAATGAAGATATTCACATTAGGAAGTTTTAAAAAAGAAATCATAGGAATTAATTCAGTAGGAATTAATTAATAGTAATTAATTATTAATTCAGTAGGAATTAATATTGTTTTACAACAGTAATATCAGTAGTAGTGTAAAATAAAGGTTCGCTTGAGTTTACATACATATATGAACACACATATGTACACATGCTCACCCATAATAGCCTTTATTGAATTTCTCTCTCAATTTGTTGAGCAGCCTATACATTCTTTGAGAACTTCCGTCAATCTGTCATCTACCTTCAGTTTATTTTATAATTTTAATCCATTACATGGTACTACATGGCACTAATTATTGAAAAGGCATGGGAGTGATTGTTGGTTTTTTTGCCTTTAGAAATTGCGGTCACTATTCATGTAAGTCAAATTATTATGTTATCTTTATCTTTTGGTTACAGAAAGCCTCTTGGTAGACATTATGCACACAGCATTCCTATTCCCTAATATAAATATACAAAAACACATAAAATGTACAAAACCATCCTCAGGGGATTACAAAGTTAACATTTTTCCACTGTTTTGGTCCTGCATCAAAATATGTTTCCTGGTCCTTTGCAATATGTTTCCATGTGATCTCATTAACTGGTGCTCTAGGGCAGCTGGAAGCTACTGTAGAAAGGAGATGCTAAGTTATTTTACCAGTCAGAGATACTGACCAAACTTCCTTCCACAAAGAATATCTCTGTGTTAACATACATGAGAAACTGCAGGGCAATTGCAGATGGACGTCAATAGAATCTCTAACTACGCAATTGAAACTGTTGTATTTTTAATCATTCCAACATTTTTTGGATGAGAAATTTGCCATAAATATTTGGATTTTTTACTTTCCTGCTATTTTGTCCCTCTCTCCTCTTTTAAATAATGCCTCCATAAAATCAAAAGGACTTTGTGTAACTTTTTTTTAGTGAAAAGTAAACCATATTGATTCTAACAATTCAACTCGGTCCAACAAGCATTTAATACCTCCTATATGTCAGGCACTGTTCTTAGAACTGGAGATTTGAAGGCAAAGACAAAACAATCCCTGCCCTCAAGCTTCCATTCTGTGACAAGCAGGGAATAACATATACACAGTTAAATACATAAAAACATATTCATATACAATGCAAATTCAAAGCAATTTGGGGTGGGGGAGTAGGGTTAGGTAGTATTATTAGCCCCAGTTTACAGATGAGGAAACTGAGGCACCCAGAAGTTAAGTGACTTGCCTGGGGTACCCAGCTAATAAAATGTCCGAGGTTGGAGATGAAATTGAGTCTTCCTGACTTCTAGCCCAGTACTCTATCCACTGTGCCACTTAGCTAAAGATTACCAGGAAACAGAAGAGAGGAGAAAGAACAGTCCAGGCATGGAGAATGACTATGCAAACGGTTGAAGGAAAGGCATACAACCATGAGGTCGCACCATAGGATTATAGATCTAAAGCCAGAAAGGATCTCAAAAGCCATCTAATCCACTGTCTCTGAATTTACAGATGTAGAAACTGAGGCTTAGGGAGTATGGGTGACTCTCCCAACCTCACGCAGATAGTAAGGAACAATTACATGCAAGATTTGAGTCCAAATGTATTGACCTCAAAGCCAGGACTCTTTCCACTCTTCATGCTAGGATGTGGCATACATAATGTAGCCAGCTGGTCAGTTTGGCTGGATCATAGAGTCTGCTAGGGGTTATCATTTGAAATCAGTGTGTAAGGGAGTCTAGGGTCATATCATGAAGGACTTTAAATACCCCAAGAGAAGAGTTTGTATTTCATCATAAAGGTAGTAAGGGGTATACTGATGCTTCTTAAGTCTACTTACCATCTGATTTTGCTTCATATTTAAAATCAATTTTTAATCATTAATTAACCCATATTATTTTTTAATTTTTATAGATTAAGAAACTGACACAGAGTAGATATCTCCACCTACCTCCCCCCACCCCCCCCAAATATTCAGCAGAGCTCTGGCTAAATATAAGGATTCTAAACTTTCTATTCTGCTCAGACAATTCATGTTTTTAAAAAATTATCTAGAAAGTATATATATTATGTTTTTGCTTCTTTTTATATTTCATAATTTAACATCTGTTCGATATTCAACATAATAAACAATTATTAAATGCCCTTGGTGTTCAGGTGCTGAAAGAAATGCAGTTTTTATTTATTTATTTTTGAAGAAATTAGTGTACATTACTGACAAATAAATAACAAAACCTAAGCCTCCAATCAGTGCTTGCTGCTTAATTGCAGCTGTTTTTGTACATGAATGAACTTTGGAAGCACCCCAGAGACGTATGACTCAGAAATATCATGCAAAACATTCATTTTTGAAAAGGAAACAAACCAGTCTTGTCTCCATATACTCCTCTGCTTAGAGGGCTCCATAGATCTATAATTGTAAGCTAGTATGCATATTTGGCATGCAATTTTTTTTAGCATATGTGTAGAGGTTCAAGTATAACTTATGTTTACACAATAGTGGTACCAAATATTTAAAATCACAGCAGGAAAAGCAAGATTGTAATAACTAAAATTCTATAATAGCGAAATTCACCTTCGTACAATACCAGCTCATGTTTCTACAATGCTTTAAAGTTGACCAAGCACTTTTCTGTTGATAACATGGAGAGGTAGGTAGTATAGGAATTATATGCCCAATTTATAGATAAGGAAACTGAGGTTGAAAGAGTTCATGTGATGTGATTTACTCAGTTCATATAACTAGTAGATATCAGGGGCAGGATTTGAACTCAGTTCTCTTGACTTCAATCCAGCTGTTCTTCAGCTATAGCATCTTGTCTCTCCTAAGAGTGCAAGTAACTTTAGAGCAGCAGCTCTTAACCCAAGGTCTATGACCTTTTTTTTTTAATATTTTGAGAATTGTTTCAATGTAATTATTTTCCTTGGTAATCCTATGTATTTTATTTTGTGCTTTTAAAAACATTTTCTGAAAAGGTTAAGAATCCCTTTTCCAGAGGTTGTGTAGACCTTTATTCTATGAATGAGGAAACAGGTTTAGAGGAATTCAGTGGCATGTCCAAAGTCATTTAATAGTAGCAGAACTGTAACTGGCTATCAGATCTGTGCAGTTAGTGTTTAGGCAATATCTTACTAGTACTGAAGATATGTTATGTGTTTTTATCATACTCTATGTGTTTTTCTGTAACCAAGTTAGTAACTTTAAATGTAATTTTAAAAATAATTTTTGGGTTACAATAATGCAAGAAGCCAGTATGTTTTCCAGTTTTTTTCTCTCTTTACAAAAAATTTTTTTTTTACCCATTAATAGAGTGTGTCTTTGATTCACAACCTGATGTGTTTCAAGACTTCTAATTTCAGTATTAGCATGTTATATTTTCCTTGTGGTTCTTTTGGCTAATGGTGATAAAAAGGTGGCTTCAGAATCAAGCAACTTCAGATACCATTGGGTTAGAGCACTTCTTTGAATATTTGCAAGATAAGCCCCCAGTATAAATGGGTCAGTGTT